CGATGCAGCGCCTGGCTTACGTCATTAGGAGCATACGCCCGTGTGTAATGTCATGTAGCCGGAACGGACGACAGCCAACATCAACAGCCATGAACAGAAACGGACGTCAAGGACTGCATGCTGTGCTTGTCGGCTGCTTCCGCCTGTGCATATCATTGATTGCTCCTGTCCACAAATCTCGATTTGTGATCTTCGATTACTGGGCGGACTGTGCCTCATTTGGCTATCTTGGGGATGTTTAAGCGTTAACCACTAGTGTCAGCTAGTTCGCCATGTCAGCGGCCTCTGTGTTGGCCGTTTCACCGACCGTCTCTGCGCGAGCTGGACCGCCGTGTCGCTGAGGTCTGTCCTGGTCGGCCCGCTCGTCAAGAACGTCTGTGTTGGTTGATTAGACGCATCACGAACCTTGTCGCCCGCGCAATTGCAGTCTGTTTTGGCCGGCTGGTCGCGCCATCAGCCATCTAGGTCTAGGTCTGACCCGCCATCCTTGTTGGTCACGTCTGGTCAGTTTGTTTTGGCTCGTGTGCCGCGTCTGTGACCCTCCGTCCTGGCCGTGTCAATGAGCTCTGCGGTCGGCTTCAGGTACGAGAACACGACGGTGAACGAGGGCGAGACAGCCACGCTGGAGTGTAAGGCCGGTGGCTCGCCGCTGCCCACCGTCGAGTTCCGCAAGGTCGGCAACGACGCCCGCTTCGAGCCGGGCACGTCGGCCGGCGACGACCGCATCCGCGTCACTGAGCGGGTCGAGGACGGCTTCAAGGTGAGGGCGACGTGACCGCGCCGCTCTCCCCCCCCCCCCCCCCCCTCCACCGCTGACTGTCGGTCTGACCTGACCCGACCCGCGCTGCTGTATAACCGGGCCTGGCATGTGCTACCGCGTGACGTGGTCTGACCCGGCCCGTGCTGCCGCATGACGTGGTCTGACCCGACCCGTGCTGCCGCCCGACGTGGTATGACCCGGCCCGTGCTGCCGCGTGACGTGGTCTGACTCGGCCCGTGCTGCCGCCCGACGTGGTCTGACCCGGCCCGTGCTGCCGCGTGACGTGGTCTGACCCGGCCCGTGCTGCCGCCTGACGTGGTATGACCAGGCCCGTGCTGCCGCGTAACACGGTCTGACCCGGTCCGTGCTGCCGCTTGACGTGGTCTGACCTGACCCGTGCCGTGCCGCAGTTCGGGACGCTCACCATCACCAATCTGAACCGGACGGACGACGGCCTGTACGAGTGCATCGCCTCCAACAAGGGCGGCTTCGAGCTCAAGAACGGCCACATCACCACCCAGTTCAAGCCATCGTTCGTCAACTCGCCGATCCGCGAGATCTACTCGTGGAACAACCACCCGGTGAACCTGACCTGTGTCGCTGAGTCCATCCCCAATGCCACCATCACGTGGGAGTTCAAGCGCCGGCTGCTGGAGCAGGACCTCGACAGCAACATCCAGCAGATCGGCAACGGCCCCACGTCCGTGCTGCGCGTACGTACGTGGTCGGGCCGGCCGAGGTGCGGCCGCTGCCGGTGGACGGGCCCCCCGCCGCGCCGGCATGCGCGCGCCGCTCACTGATCAGGACTGGCGGGCAACAAGTGTTTAAAAGGTGTCGACAAGTTGAATAAGTGAAAATAAGTGTGCCAAGTTCTGTCTGTGGTCTGAAAAACGTAAAACTAGATGTGGGAGAGGCTCGGTTTTATTTCTGTGGTTTAATCTCGGAGTGTTCTTGATCTGTTGAGGATATGCTGAGCAGTTACACTGTCGTGTGGTCTGCTGAGGCTAGAGGGACGCGACTGACAGTGTGACCAGTCTGTGGCCGATGCACCGCCCTGTGATCTGGCCGGCCAGCGGTCCGGCCGGCCGGCCGGCCCTGTGAATTGCACAACGACGTGACCTGACCCAATCTGACCTGACCCGATTCGACAGGTGATGCCCTCCGACCCCACGTACTTCGGCGTGTTCACGTGCAAGGCGTCCAACCTGCTGGGTCAGAGCATGCTCGACATCGAGCTGTTCGAGGCGACGGTACCGAGCATGCTGACGGACGTCAAGTTCGACGAGGTGACAGCCACCACGGTCACGTTCGAGATGAACGGCCCGGCCAGCGACGGCGGCCTGCCGCTGGTGGCCTACGCCGTGCAGTACAAGGTGGCCGGCGAGTCGTGGGACGCCAAGGAGGAGCAGCTGTGGCCGGTCGGGAGCAATTACGTGCTGGACAACCTCAGACCCGAGCAGGTGTTCGTCTTCAGGTGAGCCGCCGGTCAGTCGGCGGGGTCCGGTTGTGCCTCAGTGGGCAGGATTCACCGCTGTACTGGGCGCCACCTCTGTGTTGGTGACGTGGTGGGATCGCCTGGTCCTTGTATTGCTGGCTGTGCGGGATCGTTCGGACTCCCCAGGTGCGCTGTTTTACGGGCTCATCGCTCCAACCGATAGCTTTCTTGCTTCCTATCAGTAAGTTTATTGTTTGTTTTCGTTCATGGGCAGGCGGCCGGGCGTCGGCCCGCCTTCCAGCCGTGACTTGGCGCGAGCGTGGTCGGCGCGCGCGGTGTCGTGCCGCGCCGCGCCGCTGAGCCCGGACGCTCACCGCAGACGATGGGCGTCGTCTGTGGTGAGTCCCGGGCCCACCGGGTGGTGCATGTCCCCTGCGACGGCTCCTTCACCTCCTGCAGCGGGCCGGCCCATTAGCGCCGGCTCTCGACTGGAGAAGGGGCTAGGCTGCCCGATCGGTCAGGGTCCCCGGTCCGTCGGCCGACGGTGTTTCAGATCGTGCTCGCAGCGCAGCGCCCGGCTCCAGTTGTTCCGCGACTCCGTGTCGCCCATGACCCTGCCCAGTGTGTGTGCGCAGTAGTCTCATCCGCAGTAGCCAGTCTCATTTGCAGCTGTCTGGCCTGAGTGGTGCTGACTGGATCGGTTCTTCTCTGGCTGTGCTGTACGTGTGCCCCCTGACGCGTGGCTTCCGGCTGTTCTGTGCGTGTGCCATCTGACGCGAGGTACCTGGCTGCGCTTCAAGTGTGCCCCTGACGCGAGGTCTCCGGTTGTGCTGTACGTGTGCCCCTTGACGAGATATCTGGCTCTTTTGTACGTGTGCCCCCTGGCGTGAGGTCTCCGGCTCTTCTGTATGTGTGCCCCCTGACGGAGGTCTCCGGCTGGGCTGTAAGTGTGCCCCCTGATGGAGGTCTCCGGCTCTTCTGTACGTGTGCCCCCTGGCGTGAAGGTCTCCGGCTCTTCTGTATGTGTGCCCCCTGACGGAGGTCTCCGGCTGGGCTGTAAGTGTGCCCCCTGATGGAGGTCTCTGGCCGTGCTGTAAGTGTGCCCCCTGACGGAGGTCTCCGGCTGGGCTGTAAGTGTGCCCCCTGACGGAGGTCTCCGGCTGGGCTGTAAGTGTGCCCCCTGATGGAGGTCTCCGGCTGGACTGTACGTGTGTCCCCTGACGTGAGGTCGCCTGTGCGCCAGGTTTGCTGCCAAGAATGACGTCGGCCTCAGCGAATGGTCTGCAGAGCAGCAGATGATCATGCCCAAGAGAGACGTGCCCGAGGCGCCCATCATCATGCGTAAGCTGCTGCCGCACGCTGGCGCTGGTCATGGCGTGACGCACTCACCGTCGTGGCGAGTCAGCGACAGAAAGTTCATAAATGCTACCAATAAGAAGGCTGACCAAATCGTTCATGTGACTTTGTGGTGCGTATGCACTTTAGACGGTACACGTGCTGTGAATATTTGTCACCAAAAAGCACTGTCACAACCTCAGTCGAGGCAATCGTTGACCGACTTTTTTGCAAAATTTTATATTTTTGGTGTAGCTGGCCAGGCTTGACCCTTGTGGAAAGTCTACCGAAGCGAGCGAGCGCCGCTGCTGCTGCGATGAGTCGGTGGGCGGGCGCGCATGGCGACGTTGGCCGCCGGCGGGGACGGCGGGTCTGACCCGCACCTCCCGGCTAGTGCCCGACTCGACGGTCCGGCCCGAGGACGATGCCAACCTGGTGGTCAAGTCGGTGTTCTCCGACTCCTACACCGTGCAGTGGCAGGCGGGCGCCAACAACGGCGAGAAGATAGACAACTTCGAGATCTCCTATTACGAGGTGCGTCTCGGCGGCCGACCTGTGATGTGTTGAGCTGCTGTTTTTGACCGCACCGGACCGGGCTGGAACAGCGGGATCGACCTGACTGGCGAACTATGCGGACCGGCAGAGGGGAGCGAGTCGGCCTGGTCCGAGGCGGGGTGGAAGACCGGGCGAGAGGGAGGAGAGCGAGTCGGCCTGGTCCGAGGCGGGGTGGAAGACCGGGCGAGAGGGAGGGGAGCGAGTCAGCCTGGTCCGAGGCGGGGTGGAAGACCGAGCGAGAGGGAGGGGAGCGAGTCGGCCTGGTCCAAGGCGGGGTGGAAGACCGGGCGATGACTCCGTCCCGATATTTCCTACTTGAGTTGCACAAAAATTATTTTTGTTCCGTCTTTAATATTTCCGCGTATCTAATGTTGCGGAAAAACGCGGCAGGCTGTTTTGCATTCTCCAGACAGTACTGTGACGTAGCGATATCCCATAGTTGAGCTCTCCTGCCACGACGCAGCGATGTCCTTTCCTGATCACTCTCCCGCCGTCCTTTACCTAGAACTATCCGTTGCTCAATCTGCATTCAAAACTTATTTGTTGTGGCCTAGTGCTATGCAGCGCTGTGGCAAAGCACTTGACTGTTTTCCCAAACAGCCCCGCTCTATCCGCCGCCGTGATTTGGAAACTGCTTCCAAAATCGTTACGTGTGTCTGCTAGGAAGCAAAGTTTGCGCCAGGCTGCTTGGGCTGTTTGACTTTTGTAATCTGTGTCGTCTACAGGCGTGTAGTATGTACTTTCCTGCACCATTCCGGGCGACTGAGCGAACAGCTGCCCGGGTTTTCCAGCTAACGCCAGTGTTGTCGCGGGGTTTAGTCGCCGTGTCGGAAAAATGCAAACGGCAACTGATAACTGCAGAATATCACTCAGGAATCGTTACTGGGACGTTCGTCGGTTGATTGACTGATGGCTGATCAGGCTTTACAACATATCATATATGATATATGCAAAAGATTAGCATTGGCTGCGCAAAATAACATCACGCATTGTTTACCAAATAGATGATTTGACGCCAAAAAGATAGATATATAGTTTACCTAATAGATAGCCGTATATTTAAAACCGGCGCCGAACGAAAGAGTTTATAAGAAGCGCATTCTAGTTATACGTTAACGTCAACAATGGCTTTAGTTCGTGGTCAGGTTAAGTGTAAGTCAAGTCAGGACCCTGGAAATAATGTGGATTTGTCGGGATCAGCTCGGAGGTTGTCCAGAATCCCGTTTACCCCCGCCTAGGCGGTCGCGGATTGGCAACGTGCCATGCATCATCTTGCGCTACTCGCGCCTGGCTGAGAGCGGGCGGGGGAAGGGGCTGGTGTGCACCGCGGGTCACTGTTGGGTTCGAGCACCGAGTGGCGACGTGTTTGCTGTTGTGCCCGCCAGGTGGCCAGCACTGGCAACGGCTGGCGGTCGCTGTCGGACAAGCGGTCGTCGGTGGTCGACTTCCCGGGCACGCACACGTTCAAGGTGTCCAACCTGAAGGCGCAGACCCACTACCGCATCGAGCTGCGCGCCCACAACAAGATAGGCTTCGGAAACCCGGCCGAGCTGGTCGTCCTGACGGCGCCAGGTCAGTCTGGGGGCGCGGTGGAAGGCGACACAGAGCCCGGGTTGTCCTGCGCCTGGCGCTGGTGTCTGGTGGAGGAGGCCGGCCGGCTGAGACTGAGTCCGAGGCGGACACGACGGGTCGGGCTGAGGGAGGCTGGGTGGCCGGTCCCAGCCGGGGCAGGACGTGACGGGTCGGGCGGAGGGAGGCTGGGTGGCCGGTCCCAGCCCGGGCAGGACGTGACGGGTCGGGCGGAGGGAGGCTGGGTGGCCGGTCCCAGCCCGGGCAGGACGTGACGGGTCGGGCGGAGGGGGACCGGGCGGTTGGTCCCAGCCGGGGCAGGACGTGACGGGTCGGGCGGAGGGGGACCGGGCGGTTGGTCCCAGCCGGGGCAGGACGTGACGGGTCGGGCGGAGGGGGACCGGGCGGTTGGTCCCAGCCGGGGCAGGACGTGACGGGTCGGGCGGAGGGGGACCGGGCGGTTGGTGTCAGCCGGGGCAGGACGTGACGGGTCGGGCGGAGGGGGACCGGGCGGCTGGTCCCAGCCGGGGCAGGACGTGACGGGTCGGGCGGAGGGGGACCGGGCGGTTGGTCCCAGCCGGGGCAGGACGTGACGGGTCGGGCGGAGGGGGACCGGGCGGTTGGTCCCAGCCGGGGCAGGACGTGACGGGGGACGTGACGGGTCGGGCGGAGGGGGACCGGGCGGTTGGTCCCAGCCGGGGCAGGACATGACGGGGGACGTGACGGGTCGGGCGGAGGGGGACCGGGTGGTTGGTCCCAGCCGGGGCAGGACACGACACGTGCCCCGCCCGGTAGCGCGACCTCCAGTGGCCCCGACTCGGCCGCATCGCCGTCTGAACGGCTTGTCTCAATCTTCACAACATGACCAGGGACTGCACCCCTGCGGATGTCATGTTTAGTCGGGGTGTGCTGTGAAATCTCGCGGGCATTCGGTGACGAATCGCCGTCAAATTGGCTGAGCTCACATCAAGCCCTTGCCTCCTAGAGCTCCGGCGAATAGCGACCAATGATGTCCCGCTGACCGGTTGCAGCTCAGTGATGCTGACGATGCTGACGCCCTTGCGGTAGATAAGGCCCACCCGAGCGCTTTCGTGGGTAACGTTTGCCGTGGTGCTGCGGGACTCAGGCTCGGTTGGCCTGCCGGCTGCGAAAGGTCAGCTGATGGTCGTGCGCAACTAAATCGTGTCGTCTGGTGTTATCGCGGCGTGGTCATGTCCGCTATTGTGATGTCCCCGCTTACTGCTTCACTCTTTTCCATCGGCGAGAAGACCGTATGCCTGGTATAGCCCGGCATTCTTGGCTCCTCCATCACACCAGTCGCGCCTCATCACGTTGACTCTGGTCTCGTCTGGTCTCTTCCAAGTCTCGTTCCTGGTCTAGTTCCTGGCTTCCTTGGTCCTTGAACTCCTAGCCGGCCTGCGTGGTCCCGGGACTCCTGCCCGGTCTTCCTGGTGTCTGAACTCCGTGCTGGTTTCTGTTCGTCCCAAGATCCTCCAGGATTCCGTTTGAGGATCGATCCGTCCTCGATCCGCGCCTCGTGTCCAGGTCTCTCACTGCAGGAATTCGGTCCCCGGCTTCTCTGGCTCCTGGACATGGCCCTGGTCATCGTCCTGACTCCTTCCTCGTCCACTCCGATCTCGGGACTGGGCCCTGTCCGCCGCGGTCCTCGCCGCGCCCGTCCGCTGCGATCCTCGCCGCCCCTCGCCGCCCCCGTCCGCTGCGATCCCTGCCGCCCCTCGCCGCCCCCGTCCGCCGTGGTCCTCGCCGCCCCCGTCCGCCGTGGTCCTCGCCGCCCCCGTCCGCCGCGGTCCTCGCCGCCCCCGTCCGCCGCAGTCCTCGCCGCCCCTCGTCGCCCCCGTCTGCTGCGGTCCTCGCCGCCCCCGTCCGCCGTGGTCCTCGCCGCCCCCGTCCGCCGCGGTCCTCGCCGCCCCTCGCCGCCCCCGTCCGCTGCGGTCCTCGCCGCCCCCGTCCGCCGCAGTCCTCGCCGCCCCTCGCCGCTCCCGTCCGCTGCGGTCCTCGCCACCCCCGTCCGCCGCGGTCCTCGCCGCCCCGTTCGCCGCGGTCCTCGCCACCCCCGTCCGCCGCGGTCCTCGCCGCCCCCGTTCGCCGCGGTCCTCGCCGCCCCCGTCCGCCGCAGTCCTCGCCACCCCCGTCCGTCGCGGTCCTCGCCGCCCCCGTCCGCCGCGGTCCTCGCCGCCCCCGTTCGCCGCGGTCCTCGCCGCCCCCGGCCGCCCGCACTCGCTGAGGGATCCTCGCCGCTGCGGGGGCCGGCCCCAGCGGCCGTGTGAGGACCGTCGGCAGTGACGTCACGCGCCCGTTGACAGGTGCACCGAGCCCGGGCGGCGACCCGACGGGCGGCGTCAGCACTACGGTCGCCTCTCCCCTCGGTATCTCACTGCTTCTCCTGGCCGCCATTGGGCCGTGATGCGGCGCGCCCTGCGGCGGGCCGGGCCGGGCCGCGCCCGGCGCGCGGCCCGGCCGTGTGGACCGGTGTCGGTGTGGCCACGTAGACGCGCGCATGTCCGGGTGTTGCTTTATTTATGCGGGGCATGCTGGTTCGGGTGTGGCGCGCCCGAGACGAGTGGCGCGCGCCGCGCAGGCGCCACGCACGCGTGGGTGTTGGTGCACGCGGCGCGGACCAGGAGAGACAGCCGGCACCTGGACGCCGCCGCCGGCAGGTAGTCGCCGGACGGGGCGGCGCGCGAGCGTGGTCGGGTGTCGGTGGCCGCGCAAAGGGCCGCCGAGCCGCGGCGGCCGGCCGCTCCGGACCAACCACATTCCATGCCAAACCGAGTCAGTGTGGGTGAGAGCGTGCGTCAGTGGGGCGGCGCGGGATCTCTGAGGGCCGCGTCCGAGTGTGAGCGTGTCGGAGGCAGGCGCTGAGTGGCGGCGGCCGCCGGCCGGGCCGGGTCGGACGCCCTTCCCTGACCGGGCTGGGCCCTGGCGCCGCAGCGCGGCTGCGGGTCCGGCCCCAGCCCACCTGCTGCTGCTCACCCCACACCTCCCTCTTTCCGCCTAACGTCGACGTCTCCTGTCGCTTGCAGCTCTAACCCATACCGTCCTGTGTCCTGAGGCGGGCGTCGCCTCTCTCCGCTGTGGCTTCCGCTATCGCTACCGGTCGCCACTGAGCCCGGCGTCCGATCCGCTCCCGCCGGTGGTGGCCAGCCCGTCTGCCGTTGTGATGTCGCCGCGCCTGAGGTGCTGAACAATACACGTGTGCCGGCGCCGGCCGGGGCCTGGAGCCGTCTGTGGCGCACCGGCAGCTCAATGCCGGCCGTAGCGTGACCCTAACGCCCCGCCGCGCCGGCGTAACGACGCCGCCACGGCTGCGCAGGTAGTGCTAACGGTCGCCAACGGACGCAGGTAAATACGCATGGGTTCCACTAACGGGCCTTGCCGTGGGGCGTCCGGGTCCCTTTCTGTCTTGCTCGGTCAGTCAGGTATGCTCTTGCGAGCTGTCTGGTCCCCGCTCTGGCGGGTGGCCCGCAGCTGCGGGTCCAGCCTGTCACTCTCGGTTACGTCGCTCAGTGGGCGATGGGGTAATAACGACTCACCGTTCGTTTCGAAGTGTTTCGCTCTCGCTGCGCCTGGTGTGCCATTAGGATGTGTGTGTGGCTTCGTGTGACTGGTGACAGCAATTGCACCCAGTAACTGTTTGTGAAAGATTGCTTTGAAAATATCCGGCGAATTAACGCAGCGTCTGATTGCGAAAGACTCGTGTTTTTAGTTGTCAGTCTGCTGCGCTCCCACCGCTGGGTGTACGTTTCGTGCGTTATTCGAGTTCGGTGTCCATGACAACTTCTTTGGCTTGGCTGCACAGCGTTGCAGTCAGTAAGTCAACGTGTGTAGGGGGTAGGGGGGGGGGGGGAGGCGGGCGGGGAGGAGGCTGTGCCATCGCTATTTCGATTGGTTCAGGTTTTTTTAGTTACTGCGACCGGCTGCCGGTGTGTTTAGACTTCTGACGTGCTCTGCGGACGGCGTGTCCACACTGTTGACGTGCTGGGGTGACGCGAGTACGCAACTGCCTCAGGCGAAGCCGGGACGTCAGGCCGGCCGGCGGCGAGCGATAGCGGCGCCGAGCGGGAGGAGCCTCCGGCGCTGGCCTCGGCCGCCCTGGTCGGCGTGGTGGTGGGCGTGCTGCTGGTGCTGCTGCTGCTCATTGACCTCACCTGCTACGCCGTCAACAGCCGCGGCATCGTGTACGCGCTCTGCTCGCGGCGCCGCGGCAGGTCGGGCGCGGTCAAGCTGACCAACACGGCTGCCAGGTGAGCTGACGGCCGGGCCGCCGCCGCCGCCGCTGACGGACGGCAGCCGCGCCCGCCCAGCCGCGGTCCACACGACGGCCCGGCTTCTCTGCTCGGCTCCAAAGCCAATCGTTTCAGCGGGATGAATGCAGTCACGGTCTGACGAGCGTACTGGAACGGGAGGGTACGGGACGTGCTGTCTCGCTCGTGAGAGGTCGGGGCGTGCGGTTGCCGTCCTTGTCAGCTGAGTCAACTCTCCTTTAATATGAACCTTAGATCTCGAGCACGTATTCTCAGTAAATTATCGGGTCAATATTCGGTAAATGTGGCGGGACGCGAGCGACCAGTCCAGTGTCTGCTATTCAGCAGATCTAAGCCTGATGCTGTCAAGATTCCAATCCAACCCATTCGATGGTGACATGTTTGTAGCCAGCCAGTTTTCGGCATGTCTTTGGAGGTCCTTGCTTGGAGTTCTGAAGAAATTGCGAGCATTGTGATGGTGAGAGACTTTAACCCCCTGCTGCGTGCCAGCACTCGTCTCACGAATAGCTGCATGCGAAGCATGGTCTTTGCGGAATCGTTATCTCAACGAACACGGCGTGTCTACCAGAAAGTGTGCTGCTATCACGTCTCATCACCGGGCGGGTGTGGGATCGGCACAGGGCGTGCCGCATCGTGTTGGAATGTCCTCTGCTGCTGTTCACCAAGTTTATGTTTTAACACATTGTTTCAGCGAAAAGGAGCCACTGCAACACAGCAAAAACGGAAACGGGGCTGGCCACGGAGCAAGTGATGACAGGTACGCCGTAACTAGTTTGCAACTGCTACTCCATACTATGCACCTTATTCGTGCTTTGTTATATTGAGGCTGGAGTGCTTGTCATGCGATATGTTTTGCACGTCATGCAGATTTTCCCCTTTCCAAGGCTGGTGATCGACTCTTGTGATCAAAGCATTGCTTAAGCGCATGTTGTTTAGAGGTCCCTGGTCGCATCACCACGCCATGTGACAGGTGCCATCTCCCGAGACTGTCGCCCTGGTCACCAACGCATCGCAGCGATGCCGTTTCAGCTGGTTTTTGTCGCCAGAGGTTAACGCTCCGCCTGGCGTGGTGACACGACCGGCCCGCACACAGCCTAACCTGCCCGGCTGTTATTCAGGTGTTCCATGCGTGTCGTATCGTGGCTGTCCGCGTGCGCCGCGTAGCGGTCAGATGTGCGCCCCCGTACCTGCCGAGCCGCGGGACCGGCGGCAACCCCCTGCCGCGTGAATGGTCGCAGTCGCGGCGACGGGCCGACCTCACCTGTCTCGCGGGCAGCTGTCGCGACACCACCCCCGTACCTGCCGAGCCGCGGGACCGGCGGCAATCCCCTGCCGCGTGAATGGTCGCAGTCGCGGCGACGGGCCGACCTCACCTGTCTCGCGGGTAGCTGTCGCGACACCACCCCCGTACCTGCCGAGCCGCGGGACCGGCGGCAATCCCCTGCCGCGTGAATGGTCGCAGTCGCGGCGACGGGCCGACCCCACCTGTCTCGCGGGCAGCTGTCGCGATACCACGCCCAATGTGACCTATCGCATAACAACGTGGTAGGCCAGTGGCCTCGTCCAAGCCGGTAGTTTCATCATAGATACGTAATTAGAGTCGTCAGTCGTATGTGTGCGGCGCTTCTCTGACGTCAGGTGACCCCGTCACATGTGCGGCGCTCCTCTGACGTCAGGTGACCCCGTCACATGTGCGGCGCTCCTCTGACGTCAGGTGACCCCGTCACATGTGCGGCGCTCCTCTGACGTCAGGTGACCCCGTCACATGTGCGGCGCTCCTCTGACGTCAGGTGACCCCGTCACATGTGCGGCGCTTCTCTGACGTCAGGTGACCCCGTCACATGTGCGGCGCTCCTCTGACGTCAGGTGACCCCGTCACATGTGCGGCGCTCCTCTGACGTCAGGTGACCCCGTCGCGTGCGCGGCCTCCGCGGACGCGGGCGGCCCGACTGATAGAGACGCGGCTGCTTTCAGGGACGTCCCGGCCGTGGTTGTGCAGGGCGCGTCGCCGGCGGCCGCCTCCAATGACTCGGCCGTCTAGAGGATGGCCCGTGTTCTACAATGCGCCCGGGCCGGGTGGCACGCCCCCCCCCCCCCTCCCCCCGATGTTCGCGGGACGTGACGCGGCATCGCCGGCTGGCGAGTGGACCTGACTGGTCGGCGCGATGTGGTGGTGAGACTTGTCATTGACGTGCAGCCTGTCGCCTCCAGTTGCAGATCTCCAGTGATTATTTCCATGTCGACGCTGTCAGAAGAAGCCATTTCATTTTGATGTTTCTGTACTCGTGTGTTCCTTTCCGACAAGGCGTTTGTTGCTGCACCAGTTGTTCGCGGCGTCTAGTTTCGTCCGTCTAGTCGGTCGCCATGACAACACACTTGCGTCATGTTTGTACGTGTCCTGATTGTACTGCGTCGAACGTTGCTTGGTAAGCTGGGGCTGGTTTTTGTATCATATCGTAAGACCGTCTCGAAACCTGCAATCGTCTGGCAGGCGACCCAGGCTCGACCCGTAAGTCATACCTGTTCTGCAGGGCAGTGGGCTGGCCACTGAAATACACGTTTTCTGAACAGGGAGCGCTGCGCGGCGTCCTTTTGCGGACCAAAGCCCCCAGTAATAAACTGCAGCGCGTTGTTGGGCAGCGGCCACGCACGGCAGCGCCTGCTGACTTCGCGGAAGACCGCGCGGAGACCAGACAGGTCAAGCAGGCAGCCCGGCCGCGCCCCGCGCCCCTGAACCGTGCCCGGAGGCGGCGCGTGTCCGGCGCACGTGGAAGCCGCGCTCCCCAGGACGAGTGTGACAGGGGCGTGCGATCTGGAGGAGGTGGCGGACCCAGCCCGGGCCGGCGCGCGTGCCATGTACGCCGCCGACCATTTCCCGTTCAGAAGCGGTGCTTGCGGCAGGGCCGGCCGTCACCTCAGTGGCCTTCACCTCGGGTGGCCGGCGCGTGAACATCGCACGTCAACGACTCGCTGGTGTACGTTCTCGTGTGGGTCACGAACGTTCTCAATACTACAACTAATGTCGGGTCGTTGGTCGTCATCACTGTCTGGTCGTTGGCCAAACGTGTGCAACTATTGGCCCACCTGTATTTCATATACTATAGAAACAAACACACGCGCCACGGCGGGACGGAGCCTGGAGGCCGAGTGTGCAGGTGCGGCAGCTGGCCGGCGCCGCGCCCGGGGCCGGGGCGGCACTGCCACCCAGCTCTGCGGAACACGGTCCCGAGCGTGGTCCGGCAGGATCAGGCCGGACGCGACGTCAGAGATGCGGAGAAGCGCACCGGATACCGCGGCGCCGTGCGTCCCACGCCAGCGGAAAGGAAACGAAGTACAAACGGTTGCTGACAGAGGAATTACCATGCCACTATCAACGAGAACCGATCAGACGCCACGCCAGTCCACTTCGCAGCGGGCCGCCACCTGGCGCATATGTGAGGCCCCTGTATAATCTCTTCGCGTAAGTTGTGGGTCCATATCGTCGATAACCACTGGCTGCCATCAGAACTCTGGCGCTACGTATTATTTCCTCATAATTGTGAAAATAAACCGTGGTGAAGGCAACCTCATGGCATTGCACCACGTCACGCCCTGCCTTATAACGTCAAACCTGCAAAACGAAAAGCGTTTCAGCGGATGACTCCAGAAAGTGGAGACGAGCACTTGGGGTGACACACATGCGAAAATCACCATCAGCGGCCAACAGTGACCCACCTTGCTGACCTACTGTGTGCAGTTAGCTTACACGCACTGATGTCCGGACGGCCCCTGCACACAGGCAGCCAAGTGGTCCTCCAATGATCGCCAGCGGCAGCGAGGCCGCAATGCAGCCGTACACGCTACCCACCCACGGGGCCGCGCTCTTCAGTAAGAGGCGGCGTCAGCTGAGCCCTCCACGTGGTCCCGGCGTGGCACTGTCCTGGGCGCGACGCCGGCCTTGCTCGACGACCCCAGGCCCCTGGCGAGCGGCGTACTAAGCCGTCCAGCTGGGCGTGTGACCGGCCCGGCCCTGGACAGGTCGGGCCGCGCCGGGCCGCCGCCGCCGCCGTCGCCCTCGAGCGGCCGCACCAGCGCCGCCTACAGGCCCATCGAGTCGAAGTACTCGGTCTCCTGCGTCTCGGCCTGACAGAGCGGCTCGGGCACGCCGGCGCGGCGCAGCTCGTCGACGGTGGCGCCGCACAGCGTATTGTCCAGCAAGCTCCAGAGCCGCTGCGTGGCCACGCAGTCGATGAGCCACTCGTAGGACACGCTGGGCACGCCGTGGCGGCGGCGCCAGCCGGCGAAGTCGTGCTCGCACTCCTCCTGGGCCACCAGCAGGCGCACGCGGCGGGCAGGCGCCGCCGACAGCTCCTCCGGGCTCGCCGCCACCGCCCCACCTGACTGTCTGATCAGGTCCTGAGGGCGGGACGGAACGGGTCACGCCGTGCTGGGGCAGGTCACACGGCACCACAGCCGGCGACATGGTGCCAGACCAGGCTGGTCACACGACACCAGGGCTGACAGGGCGTCAGAACAGGCAGGTTACACGGCCCAGAGCCGCTGATATGGCCCCAGAGCTGGCAGGTCACGCGATACCAGAGCCGATGACATGGCACCAGAACAGGCAGGTCACAGGGCACCAGAGGCGGTGACATGCTGCCAGAGCAGGCAGGTCGCACGGCACCAGAGCCGATGCCATGGCGCCAGAACAGGCAGGTCACATGGCACCAGAGCCGGTGACATGGCGCCAGGGCACGCAGGTCACACGGCATCAGAGCCGGCGACGTGGCGCCAGGGCACGCAGGGCACACGGCACCAGAGCCGGCGACGTCGCGCCAGGGCACGTAGGGCACACGGCACCAGAGCCAGTGACGCGGCGCCAGGGCACGTAGGGCACATGGCACCAGAGCCGGTGACGTGGCGCCAGGGCAGGCAGGTCACACGGCATTAGAGCCGGTGGCACGGCGCCAGAACAGGCTGCTGGCTACACCATGGCGCGCCACCGAATCGCCGACCCCATCCGTGCTTTGACACACGCTCGCCGTGCGAGCGGCCCGGGGGTGCCAAACGCGGCACGGTGCGCTCACCTCCAGCTGCTGCAGCGTCACGTCACGGAAAGGTTCGACGCAGCAGAAGGCGAAGTCGGCGAACAGTGCGCCGCCGGTCTGGCGCGCGCGGCGCGGGCCTGGCTCGCCGGTCGCTGCGTCGATCGCCTCGTACGTCTCCTGTTAGTCGCGGCGAGAGGAGGGGATCAGGACAGGACAGGACGGTCAGGCTCACACTACGTGACATATGACCCTTACATGTAATTCTAGTCAAACATGTTTGCAACAAATTTTTTTCATCACCACTCAGTGGGCTCATTCTTCCGAATAGTCCACTCATCGCGCGTCCGATATCGCTGGGTGATTCTGGACCACATTGTGAGTGATTGCTGGATGACACCCCACTTGTCTCAACGCAACTAGCAGTAATGAAAGGCGAAGTGTTGCAAAAATGTCCATACGTCAAATTGCGTTCCATCTCTGGACTTTCAGCTACCCAGCCGGCCTCACCTCGGGCAGCAGGGCAGCAGACTTGACTGCCCAGCCAGCCTCACCTCGGGCAACAAGGCACCAGACTGTCGGCTACCCAGCCAGCCTCACCTCGGGCAGCAGGGCGCCGGCCGCCAGACTGTCGGCTACCCAGCCGGACGAGACGAGCCAGGCGCGCGCCGCCACGCCTTGTAAGAACTTGAGCGTGCGGCCGGCCTCCCGTTGGTCGCCGGTGCGCACCACCACGTGCGTGACGTCGGGCTGCCACTGGCGCAGGAAGCGGCCGCCGTGCGCCGCAGCCAGCTGCTGCGCCGCCTCCTGCTCCGTCCGCTTCAGACCCGACACCACGATCACGGGCGGCGGCGGCGGCGGCGGCGGCGGCCGGGCGGCGCTGGAGCTGCGGCGGGTACGGGCCGGCCGCCAGTCACGCACACACGGCAGCGGCCAACAGCAGTCGCCGATGCCCCACGGGGACCACGGGCCCTTTCATCAAGTGGCATTTCATTTCAGTGGCATTTCATCGCGATTTACTTTCAGCGATGATGTTGATTGAGCCCGTTGACAACTGTGACCATTATCACATCCAGCGCATCAACCTGTGCACATTCCACCTCACGTAAATGCTAACTGCCGGCATAGCACTACTACCCGATGTTGACCACTCGTGTACAGAGACAGAAAACAGCGAGCTCCTAAGCGCGGATCATCAGACGCCTCGAGTAAAAAAAGGCAGGACCGATGCCAGTTCGCTGAGGAGTATCATCGGGCGTCGGGACAGACGACGCACACATTTTAACCGAGCGCGAGGCAGCTCACTGGTCATACGGGCCGGGCACTGCCAGCGGTCGACGTAAGGGTCACCTGCGCCCGGTGCCGGGTCGGCGAGGCCAGCTCACCTGCGGCGTCCGGCGGTCGGAGCGCTCGGCTCTTCCATGGGCCGGCTGGCGCAGAACATGTCCTCCGACTCCGCCTCAGACAGCTCCTGATCGGCGGCCCGGGACGGCTCCTGATCGGAGGCGCGAGATGCCTCCTGATTGTCTGTCCGAGATGCCGCCTGGTTGGCTGCGCCACCGCCGGCGCCTGCCACTGGGTCTGAGGGTCGTGGCTGTGAAGCAGACGGTACACTAAATACCTGACAACATCTACTGGCCACGCCACAGAGAAAGGACGATCGCGCCCAAGTACCCCCCCCCTCCCTCCCCAACCGCACCCACAACTGAACGTCCACAATGTGAGACTTATGATCAATCTTTCATGCGAATGCTTAAGGGATTAATGCGAGATGCAATGCACGGCGGTATACGCTCCGGCGTGCACCACAGGAGGCATACGCTGTCCGACACGGCGACTTCGCCCGTCGCCGTCGCCCCTCGCCCGCCATCCGTCGCCGTCGCTCGTCGCTCGTCGCCCGTCGCCCGTCGCCCGTCGCCCGTCGTCCGTCGTCCGTCGTCCGTCGCCCGCCGCCCGTCGCCCGTCGCCCGTCGCCCGTCGCCCGTCGCCGTCGCCTGTCGCCCGTCGTCCAGTCATCCGGCGCATGCGAGGCCTCACCTCTGCGCTGCGGCTCGGCTCCCGCGCCGACTGGCTCGGCTCTGCAGCCACGCACAGGCTCGAGTCGTTGAAGAAGTCGGCCGGGATGAGCATGTCCTGACTGCTGGGGCTGTCCGGAGCAGCAGCAGCGTCGGCGGTGGCGTCGGCTGGAGGCGGCAGCGAGACGCGCCGGCGCGGCGGCGGTCCTGCCGGCCGCAGCGGGGTGTCCGCGGCCGGGTCGGAGCCGGCGGAGCTGGCGCCGCGGCGCTGGCCGCCCGGCGTCACCAGCACTGTGTCCAGCTGGCCGAGCGGGCGCCGCTCGCCGCTGCAGCTGAGGATCTCGGCCAGGTCTGAGTCGGGCGAGCCTGCGGCCGGTGCTGTGAGGTCGCGGTCGATCCGGTCGGAGCAGGGGCCGCCCCAGCCGCCGGCCGAGCGGCGCGCCACCGGCTCCTCCCGGGCAGAGCCAGCGCTCATGGCCACCTCAGCAGCACTATCGTTCATACGTTCGTCTGGAAGCCCTCTGGCAGCGGGCTCCACCGACATCTCGCCCAAGGAGTCGTCCATGGGTATCTCGCATTTGGGCTCGCCCACCAGTCCGTCTTCGGTTTTCTCCATCGGCATCACGCTGATAGGCTTTTCAGTGACGCCATTGTCACTGTCTTCCAGGCCCATCTCGCTGACAGACCGTTCACCGCCGCTGGTCTTCACTGGTGCCTCGCCGACGCCCTCGTTCGGGGACGGCAACCGAGGCTTGCTCGTCGACTCCTCTGCCAGCGCGTCGTCCGCGGCCTCCCCCTGCATTTCTCGGATGAACTCGTCCACGGGCAGCGCGGCCAGTCGCTCCATCTCGCGGCGGTCATCGCTATCGCTGTCGAACTCGGCCGGCTCGGCGGGCATTGGCTCGCACCGCTCGTCGTCGTCTGAGATGCGCGCGGCGCGGCGACCTGGACGGCGGCACAGCGGCGAGTCCTGGGACGCGCCGGAACCGGAGCCGGCCGCGTCGTCATCGTCGGCGGCGGCGGCGGCGGAGGCGAGCCGCCCGCCCCCAGAGCTGGCCCGGCCAGACGACGTGGTCACGTCCATACGACGTCGCTTGCAGCCGACGCGAGCGGGCAGGGACCGGGGGCTGGGTCGTTTCTGAGATGTCTCGTCACTGATGGCAGCGGGTCGAGGCCCTGGGCTGGGTCGCTTTGGTGACCGTTCGCCACCGACAGATGCGGACTGGACCCGGGGGCTGGACCGCTTTGGTGACGGCTCGCCACAGACGGGTGCGGACGGGACCCGGGGGCTGGACTGCTTTGATGACGGCTCGCCACCGACGGGTGCGGACTGGACCCGGGGGCTGGACCGCTTTGATGACGGCTCGCCACCGACGGGTGCGGACTGGACCCGGGGGCTGGACCGCTTTCGTGACGGCTCGCCGCCGACGGGCACGGACTGGACCCGGGGGCTGGACCGCTTTGTGACGGCTCGCCACAGACTGCGGACGGACCCGGGCTGGACTGCTTTGATGACGGCTCGCCACCGACGGGTGCGGACTGGACCCGGGGGCTGGACCGCTTTCGTGACGGCTCGCCGCCGACGGGCACGGACTGGACCCGGGGGCTGGACCGCTTTGGTGACGGCTCGCCACCGACGGAAGCGGACAGGGGTCGGGAACTGGGCAGCTTCTCGAACGTTCCGTCACAGCCAGGAGCGCGCCGAGACCCGGAACTGGAATGCTTCGGTGACGTCTTGTCCTCGTCGCTGCCGCCGGCTGACAGGTGGCTGCTGGGGGCGGGGTAATCAGCCGGGCAGTCGGCGAGGTACTGATCCACCTCCTCGGTGCTGACGTCGCACAAGGCAGGCGGCGGAGACGGCGCCGCCTCAGCCGCCATTTCGCGCGCCACCTGCTCAAACTGCGTAACCGGCATGGGCGGCACCTCCTCGCTGTCGGTCGGCGTCGAGACATCGGCGGCCGGCGCCGGGTCCAGCCGCATCAGCGCCGACAGTCCCAGGCCGCCGCCGCCGCCGGCCGGCGAGGCTACCACCGAGGACTGAGAGGGCGCCACGGCGTCGGAGGGGTCGCCGCCGGCCGGAGGACGGCTCTCCTCTGACCGGCGGGCGGGCAGAGAGCGGCCGCCGACGGCTTCCGGTGAGCTCCGGCCGGCCTGGACGGCATCCGAGCGGTGCGTCCCGGCCGCCGCCGCCACCGCCCGGCCCGCTGACGCGCTGAAGACGGACGGAGCAGCGGAACCGGCCGGCGGCGAGGCGGCGGCCGTGGCCGGTTCAGGCGGCTGCAGGACAGCAGACTTCCGTGGGGCGCCGCCGCTCGAGCTGCGGCAAACGGCGCCAGGTGTGGTACAGAACGGTCTCGTCGAACGCCAGCGGCGCTCACGGTCAGAGCTGACCGTAACTAGTCAGCAGTGAGCAATCTTTCCAGTTTCGCTGTCGAGAGTTACTCGGAACACTACCATGAGCCCTTTGTGCTTGATAGCCGCACTTCCGGCAGGCAGGTAATCGCTAGCGTCCTTATCAAAACAGCTGTGAACACGCCGGTGACGACCAGCGCCGGCGCCAGCACCGGCAGCTGCCGACAGACGTGCCGCGCCGGGCGAGCGGTCCCACCAGCAGCCGACACTGACCTGTGCAGCGGCGGTGTCGAGCCGGCCGAGTGGCGGCGGCTCCGGCCGAGCTCGGCCGTCAGACGTGTCACCAGTCTGGTGAGCCGGCGCTGGCCGGCCAGCAGGCGCAGCAGCAGCCGCCGGTCGGCGGCGGTGCGGCGCCGGCGGCGGCGGCCGGCCGGCAGCCGCGGGCTGTGAAGACCGGCCGGACCGGCCGGCACGTGGAGCTGGAACAGGCAGCGGCGCCCGCTAGTTGGAGTCCAACGGCGGGCACAAGCTGCACCAACCTGTTCCCGTGTAACATTCGCATTCCCTATCGCACTCATACCATATCAACTATTACCTTTCGGAATCAACGGCAAAGTACAAGAGATCCACGATTTTCCTTCTTCAGGAATAAAAGCCCGGCGGTCACGCCACTCTGCTCGGAGCGGTGCACCTGTCACGCCCAGCGTCCGGTCGCATGAGGTGGTTACCTGCTGACTGGGGTCTGCGGCGGCCCCTGGCGTCCGGGCGCCGATGACCGGCCGGCCAGAGCTGCATCTGGAGAGTCGAGAAGAGCCGCTGCTGCTGCTGCTGCGGCGCTGGGCGGCACCTGAGCCGGCCGGCAGCCGCGCCCTCTCCACCACGAAATCTTCCGAGTCAGTCAGCACGGCGCGGGCTTGAGCCGAGGCCGGAGCTGGGGCTGGAACTGGGGCTGTGGCTGGGGCCAGGACTGGTGCCGGAGCTTGGGCCGGAGCTTGGGCCGGAGCCAGGGCTGGAGCCGTGGTATGTGCTCCACCCGCCTCTCCGTCGTCGGGCCGAGCTGGCTGGCTGACGGACGGCTCTGGCTCGGTCGCTGGGATGACCGACTCGCTGGCCGGCGTGAGCGACTCACCGGCCGGGCCTGTCGAGACCTCGCCGCCCCCGGCTGCCGTCAGCGGCGGCGGCGGCAGCGAGCGGCGCCACTCCTCCGTCTCCGGTACAGGGGCAGCGGTCGGCCCCGGCCCGGCCGGCTGCGTCTCCAGAGCCAGCAGCTCCCCCTCGAGCCGACTCAGCTCGCGGTGGTAGCGGCTGACGCGGGCACCGGTGCGCTCGCGCTGGCTGGCCGTGAAGCCCTCGGACGCCGGCTCGTCACCGCTGGACGCCGTCTCGGCCTCGTCGATGCGTCCGGTGGGCGACGGGGGCACGTCGCCGAGGTCGGCCGGCGGAGGCGCGGCGCCAGCCTCCTTTACGGGCGTACGCCGGCCCCCGCGCACCGATAGCTGACCCTTCAGGCCAAACGATGTCTTGAGGCGGGGCAGGCGGGACCAGCCGGGCGAGCGGAGCATGGCCGGTAGCAGACCGGCGGCCGACAGACGGCGCGGGCTCAACTCCGGCTCCTCCTCCTCCCCCTCCTCATGCACAGGCACGTGTGGCCGCTCTGGCGGCGGAGACCCCGGCGACCGCCGCTCCTTCTCCAGCCGTGTTGTTCGGTCATCACGATAGGGGACCTGCTCTTCCTCGCCAGCCGGCCCGACACTGGGAC